CCGGCTCCCCGCCTTCGGGCTTCCCCAGGCCAGCCGCTGCTGAAACTGACCAGTGGCTGACTACAGGAAGCCCCTGCCCTGGGCTTCCTGGAATCAGCCGCTGATCAGTTTCAGCAGCAGCTGACTTGGGGATGCCTGGGGTTCTTAAGTTGAATCTGTATGTAAGTCAGAATTGCGGCTGAATCTGGACGCCAGTTCCGACTTACATACAGATTCAACTTAAGAACAAACCTACAGTCCCTATCTTGTACGTAACCCGGGGACTGCCTGTAATTGCTTTAGTGATATGCATTCATTAAAGTTCCTAAAATGTTAGGACATGCTAAGGATTTCACTTGCTTTTCTTAAACATATGCATTAATGCTACTCTTACTCTTACCTTAGGATGGATTCCGGGAAGTGGAGGTAGAAAGTCAGTGTTAGCTATAATGGAATCAAACATAAGAATTATTTTGCAAGCACAGAGATTGCTGCCATTCTTACCAAGAGTGAGAAATATAGCAGTGGAAAAAAAAAAAGCAAACTCCCATGATGGATGACCCTTCCTCAAGCCACTGATTTTATATAAAATGGTTCCACAAGATACTTAACACAGCAATCATCATCTTCACTGATTGATAAGTCCTTTTCAGCATCACGTTAGCTATCACAATGATGCAATAGTATGGTCTTATGAAATGAGAACTAATTTCTAAGTGAAGAAAAGCCATGTTTATGACCATTAGGATTAGAATTCACTGGGGAGCAAGAATATGCCTCTTTTTAATACAGAAACCCTCCCCTCCACCTCTTCTGCTTATTATATCTTTTACATCATTAGCAAAATTAATAATTCAACTCTATATCTGGGTTCACCACTTTTATCCCAATGCAATTCCTCATAAGGTTCTGCATGTTCCTATTCCTGTGATAAAGAAAATGCACATATCTTATCTTTTAGAAGGAACATTAGAGTTTTAAAGTCATGTGAATAACTTACCATTTCCTGAGCCAACTTGTGCACATGGAATTGTAAGGACCCTTTGCAGCCCATCTGGCTTATATGAATAATGTTCAACTAACTACCAGGACAAAAAAGAAGAGAGAATGTCAGTAGGGAGAGGTAATGGAGGAAAAAAAATGTTGGGCAATAATTTGGGTAATTACAGGTGTGGTCAGTAGTTTATATTTTTGGCTACCTAATGTGTGTGTATATGCTGTGTGCACTAGGGTATGTACTATTGTATCGAGTTTGCATCTTCCTAATGTATGTCTAGACATTTGGGAAGGTCTTTTTGAGTAAGACTTTGGGTAGGATTCAGGAAACTCTGATTTCTAGTCCTGGCTCTGCCACTGATCTGGACATTTCATCGTTCTGTGCCTATGTTTCCTATCTCACTTGGCGTCTGTCATGTCCACACTGTTCAGGTCAGGCACTGCCTCTGACTGTATGCTTGTACAGTGTCTTGGCTTGGACTGTAGATGATACTGTGATATTAATAAGACAAATATTGTTATTAGAACTGGCCTTTGCATTTTTGGGTTGCTTTACCCCCATACAGTAAGTGGAATTGGTCATTCCACTGTCTATTGTAGGTTGGTTTGGGGGATGCAAGCAGGATTTTCAGCTCTATTCAGAGACCACACTGAGTCATTGTGCCCATGTGTGCTCAGCATTTATAGTATGTATTCAGCATGTGTGAGCATGTGTGCGTACATGCATATGCATTAGCTTATTTTACAGAGCCCTAGGATCACAGGCAAATGTTGCCGCTTGTCAGTATTTATTTGTGGTGGAGGAATTTGCTTTACCCATCCAGATCTCCATATCAACTGTGAAGAACACTAGTAAATCAACATTTTTGTCAGCTTTGTAATAAATAGGAAGGACATGGATAGTTAAGGGAAAGGCTAAGAATTATTATATACAAGTATAAACTTACATTATATGCATAGCATTTATACAGCAGCAATTTATTTGTGTTAATACAATTTTAAACTATAGGTGGCAGCAGAAATCTGCTATTGTTTCATTTCCTTTTGTGTTTTCAATATACCCACATTTATTTGTTGCAATGCCTCATCTCTATTAAAGAGTGTAGTATAATTAGCAATGCACTTCATGATTGCTTAATCTGGGCCAGGATTTTAGACAGTGTTGGTAATGCTGGGTAGGCTGTATTTCTCAGTTGGCTAGCTAGAGAGTCACAGAGCTAAACCGTACTGTGTGTGCCTAGCATCCTAAACTATTCCCTGTGTGGTTACCACAACCCAATTCTGTCTTTTGCATGTGACAAGAGATGTGACAGAAATGCCGCAGTGCTCTTATTTAATCTCGCTTTTACAAGTGAAATCTCCTTTTCATTCAAGGAAATACACAATTCTTTAAATAATAACTAGAGTAATTTTAAATTAAGCTAACATATTAAAAAAGCACTATCAAAATCTGTGCCACTTATAAAGCTTTCTATAATAAAAGATACTTTTCCCTTTTTTCCCCTAAAGGATGAAAATTACTAAAAAATAATTTAGAAATATGTGGTAAATTACTGTCCCAAACATGCTGCCATTTAGCAAAAGATTGCAGATGCATGGTAAAGTAAAACAGAAACTGCCTTATTTGGTGCTATAGAAACAGGCGGAGAGTCACTCAGCTGACTAATTTAACACACCTGCCAGAGTGTGTCAAACTTTTTTCCATCTGGTATAGAGAGCTTTCCCGTCTTGTCTCTGTCAATACGATAATGCAATACTTTTCCTTCACTGAGCAGGCAGAGAGCATAGGAGCCATTGTTGTCCCTTTCCCTGAGTCTGAAATGAAAAGAGAAATATCAAAGGTTATTTTCAACTAGTAGCAAGTGTCTGTATTTTGGAAAAAAAATATTTTCCACTAGCTTTCCCAAAGGAAATAAGGTTAAATCTGTATCCCAGTTTTTGAGGACTTCCTTGAAAACCCTCATGTACTTTTAGCATAAATTTTATGAAAGGGAATTTTCTAAACATGGAAAATGGGGAAAAGCAGAATTCTGTGTTCTGCACAACATGCATACTAGGAGCATAGCACTCGTGTGGATGATTCTTAAGTCATAACTTGTCTTGCTCAGAGTGTGTGTGTGTGTCTTTCGCACCTCTGAGCCATGAAAGTTAGAGCAGCTTAAGCAGCAGTGTAGATCTGCCCTCTGTCAGTCAAGAGCTCTGAATGCAGGCACTTTTGTGCACTGCAGGCCTGATCCAAAGCCTAGTGAAGTTAAGGACAGGACTCTTGTATATAACAGTTGTATTACATATCTCTGGTACCTTCAAAAAAAAAGTGGATACAGTGAAAAGAGTGATTATTCACTCTTTTATCCTCTATCCTAATACAAAGACTGGGATGGGGAGGGGGAGAGAGATCCGAAATGAATAGCACATGAAGATAAGTATAAATACAAAGAGAAACATTGAATGTTCTACTGTCAGTGGTGTTTTTGACTGTCATGAAGTATAACATTATGTCATGGGTTCCATGGCTTTCACAGACCTCTGTGACATTTTCCACTTCAGCCCCAGGTCAGGGCTCCAAAGCTCTGGGCCACAGTGGCGAGGCCCCAGAATTCTGAGCCACTGGGAACGGCAGAAGTGCCCATGAGCCATGACAAAATCTTAACCTTAACTATAAGTCATGTTCAAGTAACATAACAGGATTTTTAAAAAACAGCCTAATTTTATTATGTTAATATTTGCTAAGCAAATTAGATCTTAATCTTCAAGGTCTGCAGGGGATGCATAAAGCTTTGCACTGTTGGCTATTATTTTATACAAGCAATTATTTTCTCTCTTTGAAGTATCTCTGGCTATTACCCCAGACAGAGCACTGGTCATAATGGATCTTTGGTGGGAAGCAAAAAGTCAAATCCTGTTTCTGTGTCTGTAAGTGTTAGGAATTCAAGTGCAATTCTTATTTTTGTTTATGTCGTATTAGGTTATGAAGATGATCCATGTTCTTTCCCCATTGTCCTTAACTTACCAATGACGATAATAAAAAATGACCTAAGACATCATGGAATATAGTTCAAGAAAAATGTGTACCATTTACATTCAGCCAAGATACTGGCTAAGCAGGAGTTGTGAACACAATATATGAAGTATCTGCATTCAGCAATACTACTCTTAAAACTATATTGCACGTTATTGTCACATTAACGCAGCGTGGGTTTGTCTCCCTCCAGTGACTGAACCCAGGTAACAGTTTGAGCGTGCTACTCTCTCTGTGGTCTGTTAGCACAAAAAGTAGACTTTTGATTTTAAATCCAGAGATCCCAGGTTCAAACACTGCTGGTGGGAGGCTGTCAGCTGTACTGGCCAGTAAACTTTCTGGTGCCATGTCTTACTGATGGAAAATGCAGCTTCAACTAAATTGAAACATTCTGGGACGCTAAAAATTAAGACTGAAAACTGCCTGGCTTCCTGCTAGTTCACCCACATTCCTTTTTGGGCTCCTGAGCAGCCCATTTGTCAGACTGCAGTGCTCCCCTGGGATCCTTGGCCAGCAAGGCTGCCTGACTCCCCAGGCCAGTGTCCCAAATTCTCGGGCAGTTGCACGTATGGAGTCAGGCAGCCAAGAGAATATGTTAAAAAAATCCATTTTAGTTCTCTTGTTTGAGAAAAATTTCAATTTGTTGACCTTTTTCTCCCAATTTGAGACAAAATTCTTAATTTTACTCCCTTAGCCGCAAAAATTCAAAAAAATTCATGGGCAGGAAAGATTGCTTCTTAGCCAGATCTCTATGTCAAACAGCTTTTAGAGTTTAAATGAAATTGAAAGAAGTTATGAGTATTTACTACAATGGTTCACAGCACTAAAGAACTGGAAAAGCTGAGCCATTATTAAGGATAACATTTTGACAGTTATTTTTTAGTAAAAGTCGCGGACAGATTGCAGGTAATAAAGAAAAATTCCTGGAAGCCTGTGACTTTTCCATGACTTTTACTAAAAATAATGGACTAATGGGGGCTGACTTGGACAGGTTGCAGGTAATAAAGAAAAATTCCTTGAAGCCTGTGACTTTTCCGTGACTTTTACTAAAAATAATGGACTAATGGGGGCTGACTAAAGCCCAAGCCTGAATGGGTGTAGGAGAGATCCAGCAGCCTCCAACCTCCCTGCAGTTGAAAGCTCCAAAGCCCCACCAACACCAATGACGACTGGGAGCTCCAGGTCTCCCCTCCCCCTACGGCAGCAAGTCCCCATTGGCTGACCGCTCCTGTCCCTCTGCTCCAGAGCTGACATGGAAAATGTCACTGAGGTTGCTGAAGGTCACAAGATCCATGAGTTCCATAACCTCCATGACTTAGTCAAATAGTTTTTCAAAGAAACTAGAGGTAAATATAAGGCATGAAGCCTGGATATGGTACTGAGATATTTTGTCGGTATTGTATTTGTAAATACATAATTAGGTAATGTTCCTTCAGTTACACTGGGATTTGCAATGCTTTCCTCACTTCCTGGATTTGGTGAAGGAAGGGGGTTTAGTTCTCTTTCCCCCTCCTGGTTCCTGATTGTCTGTGTTTGTTTTCCCTCTTCTTCTGCACGTAAGATGGAAGGAGTCTCTCTTTTCTTCTCAACTATCATCTCTTGGCAGGTAGGAATCCCAATAACTTTCCTTCCTCTTCTCTTCCTGCTTGGGGAGAAAATACAAGGCTTCCAGTGGCGTCGATCTGGATGAGTTTGTTCAGCACATTCTGAAGTGTCTGAGCCACAGTTGTGTGATTTAGTTTTTTTTTTCCTCTCTCTCTCTGCCTTGATTTCATGCAGAAGTAGCAAGTGAGAGTCAGATCAGTCGACTAAGTAAGAGACACATGTTGGGCCCTAAAGAGCTGTATCCTACTTGAGGATATTTTCCTTGACCTGTGTGATTCTTATTATATTAGAGTCTACTCTCTCCTTGATAGCTGGTTCTGAGAGGATGTATAAAGGTAACTCATTAACAGTAATAATCTCTGCATGTGTAAAATATCAGCCTCAGTAGAGCGGACCCAACATACAGGATACATGATTGCTTTCCATGTTATTGGAGATAATAAATTATATTTCCTATTACAATGCAAGTTGTTTTCTGAACGGAGGTATGAAAGCTCTGGAATGTAAAACCCAATTGCATATCTGTTTTGGAGACATCATCTTCCACTCTGAACATGTATTTCTAGTTCTTTTAATTATTAAACAGCAATACAAAGAATAACAAACTGCAAGTCATTCTCCATTTTAGCAGAGACCTTGCTGCTCTTGACTGGTCAGTCAGTACAGGAAGTCAGTGTGCTAAGTACCTATGTATGTTAAGAAGAAACCACAAACAAAATGGTTCAGGTTTCTTTTAAAGTAGTAGGCAAGCTATTTTGGTTTCAGAAAAAAATCTTATTCTTTTCTGCATGTCGGTGTTCCAATCATATTTATGTTCTGTAAATTTTAAATTTTAACTAAATATTGCATGCAGTATTGCTGAATGAAGAGTTCAGAACAAACCATGAACAAGCTTAAACACGTCCTATTTGAATTAAAAAAAATCAAAATATTATATCACGTCCATTGTTACCATATCACATAGCAGTGTGATGTGCAGATGCTAACACTATGATGCAGTTAAGAGTCTCCATTTTCAGAAGCCCTTCAAACCTCTGGTCACAACTCAAAACTAAAAGCTACCTGCCTTTGCAAGTTCGTGGGAAGTTTTCTTAGAAGCTGGATTTCACAATTTCAGTTTGGTTTTGTAATGGTAACTTGCAAAACTGATCACAGTTTCCTAGGTTACACTAATTCTAAGGAACTCGTGCTAAGTATATAGTGCTTAGATCACCACTCAGTCCTTTGCCCATGGATTCTGAACAAACCTAAACATTAAAGTGAAACTAATGAAGAGAGAATTACCTAAACTGAAAATAACGAAGTTTTCTAAAAGTCTTGATAACTGAAATCAAGACGTTTTACAGAGCTCTCATTATGGCAGGGGACACTAATTCTAAGGAACTCGTGCTAAGTATATAGTGCTTAGATCACCACTCAGTCCTTTGCCCATGGATTCTGAACAAACCTAAACATTAAAGTGAAACTAATGAAGAGAGAATTACCTAAACTGAAAATAACGAAGTTTTCTAAAAGTCTTGATAACTGAAATCAAGACGTTTTACAGAGCTCTCATTATGGCAGGGGGGCCCATGATCATGTATACAGTATATCCTAACCCTATGCCTTAAAATAGAGAATTAGCTGGCCTACTTTTATCAACTAATATGATCCCATAATACCTTTATCAGCAGCATAGTTGGTTGGAATTTTCCAGTTCCTTAAAGTATCATAGACTATTTTTATGTTCATGACGGCATATGTCAGCAGTTACCAGTCCTATTTATATATACAGAGATAATATAAATAATGCAGATGTGCATTTTGCATATAATTTGGTCTTACAGTATTTAAAAAGAAAAGCAGACATCTGAGAGACTAGACTCCCACTTGAAAAAAGAGTGTCAGTTGTGCCAGTACATGAGAAATGCATTTAATGTCGTCAGGTGTGATATATCAGATAATGCTGGACAAGATACCATTAGTCACTTTAATGGATTAAACTAGATTTATTCTGCTTTGGTAAGCTCAGCAGGTACTGCAGGCATTCTTGTGATAACTTAAATGATGTTTTGGTTCCTTCCTAATATTTCTACATGGGCGCTCAAGTTATATGCAAGCTATATGTGGCTGTGAACCTTCTATTAACATATACGTGATCAAATGCAATTTCATTAGCGAAGCTGTGTGTGTTTGTATTTAATGCTGAATTTATAAATATATTCAAAACTACATATTTTATTTAAAATTGCAAAATTTGAAACAGTACAGCTAAATTTCTGAATCTAGCCTTTGTGTCTAACAGGAATTCCTCTTCTAAATACGTACTTGTGTAATTAAATTTATAACTTGAAAGTAAGAGGTATACTGGCTACTTTTGCTTAATTAGGTGCTGAGGCCCAAGCAATTTTTGCACATTCATAACTGATGCAGTGAAACCGGGGGGTGCCAGGGCTATGAACTGTCAAGCCTAGATGCCAGGACCCAGCCCTGGCAAACCCTACCAGAAATTAAACATGAGTGGTGACTTCTAACAGCAGCAGCAGCAACAACAAAAGGCAAATACCAGTTATTTCCAATTGAAAGTGCAGGAGAAAACTGGCATTTTAGATGTCTCCAATTTGTAATTGTTGGCAAATATTTATATTATTTCTTATTGTGCCTAAATACAAATGTGTCTTTGCAATAATAATTTCTCATAAACATATTGTACCCAAAACAGAGTTTATTGGGAAATTCATAATCACCTAGACTTTTGATAACATTTCAGAGCTCTGCAGAGAGAACAATGAAATAATCAGAAAGCTGACAAGTATCTCTCAATGAACTTTCAGTCTATTCTTCAGTTGATTTCATGAACGCCATATGTTGTGGTGGTAATTGGGGGAGGAGTGTAACATTTACCAGACTTGTTTTGTTGCAAAGAAAATATGTTTCCCTATTCCAAAATGGAAAAACAAAACAAAACCAAATCTGATTTGCTCTTCCACCCCTCAAACGCCAGTACTGTACATCATTTAGGAGTAGTATCTACATCTCTCTGCATCCAGGGCAATGACACATCCAGTCATTCTATTAGGAACTGAAAAATTATCTGCATGAAACTGAGGGGATAATGAAACAGTTTCCTAGTTTCACACATCACATTACTTATCTAACTCAGTCTCCCCCCCGGCCCTCCCCCCCTTTTTTTTGAACAGGCAGATCAGTCAGGGAGGATTTCAAATCACACACACAATCTTGCAGAAGAAATTTGCAGCAACTTGCCAGAAATATACCACTTTTAGTGAAACTATTTTATTGAACATAAATATCACTTAAGCATCATTAGAAAATTCCTCACTAGTAATTGTTATAGTTCTCTTTCACCATCCTATCCAGTAACACTGCTGGAAAGAGACATAACGGTTAAAATAAAAAATTAATTGACACTAAACAAATTGTCTTGAGGTAGAGGAAGTAGGGTAAACCCTCCACATGCAACCCTCAGTACTGAAGATAAGAAAATGAGCAGGACACATCTTCCCGCATTCTGCAGCTACATTGATAGTATCTGAAAATTCTCCTGAAAGAGAAATAAGGCTTAATTATAATTCTTAGGTACTTAGCGGTTCAAAAGACATGGCTCCGAAAGCACTGAATGGCTTCTATAAGTACCCGGAAAGTCAATGGTGTATTGAAGAACTATTGGTCCATGCCTAGGTCTCTTTCAAATAAGAGGACAATTAAGCTTTTGAATACTGGGAGGAACATCAATTTGTCTCTCTGGGACTATGTACAGATGAAATGGCTGAAGCAGACATGGTCAAACTTGATTCAGAGACCTCTTTGGAAACCAGGTAGAGGGAAAAAAAAGAACTTTCTGGGAGGAGCACAGATATACATCCAGCATGTTCAGAACTCATTGGAAAAGGCAAGGGAAGCCAAATGCAATCCTCTGGGTGACAGTCAGCAATATCTTTCAAGAAACCCTGAGCTCTGAACCAGCACCACTCAGTGTTCTGCCATTAGATCAAAGTGTCCTAATGTAAAGAACAGCGTAGATCTGTGAGAGAAGATCTTATCTATTAGGGAATTTACTGACTGTTCTGTCTATCAGGGAAGCAGGAATCTTGACTGCAAAATACACAAAGAGAACCAGAATAGCACTAAAATACTCCAGCAACAAATAATCCAACAATCTGTTTCCTCATTTTCCAAGATAGGAGCTTAAAATGATTCTTGAGAAGTCCTAACCAGAGCTACCCAGAGATATTTATTTACTTTTTTGCTTGTTCTGACGGGAGAGTACTTGAGTTTTGATGCTTCTATGGTATAATGCTCTACATTTAAAGGGATAGCAGAGCTTTCTCTCACCTGTCATCTCTCAATAATAAGGGGAGTCCTTTAAAAATCTTCTTTCCGGATTATCTTCATATATCATAACAATGAAAACTTTCCAAGTTTGATAAACACCAGTCCTCCTATGAGATACACCTACATTCCATCAAGAGTTAGATATATTGCAACTCAGACCCTTTTATTAAGCTCTGAATCAAGAGATGTAAGGAAAGTAGAAAATGTAAAATTGGTCAGGTTGGGTGAGTAAGTTCTAGAGAGGAGGTCTCCAACCTTTTTAAGCACAAGGTCACTTTTAGAATTTAAGTCAATCCAGGATCTACCTCAAAACCAAATACCTTTGTTCTGCCTCCTTCCCTGTGGCCCTGTCCCTACACCATCCCTTCTCATTCTGTGGAAATGGGGGACATGGAAAGGGGGAGGTGGACACCCCGACTTCAGTGCTCCCCTTCTCCACACCTGCACAGCAAGCAGGAGGTTCCAAGATTCCTGCTTCCAAGACAGAAGCCAGGAACAGCACAGCAGTAGGGGGAGAGGCAACTGTAGACAGCCTCGTAACCAAAACAGTCAGGATCACTTGTGAGAGACTCCAGGATCTATCAGTAGATCCCGATCTACTAGTTGGTGACCACTGTTCTAAGAGACTATCGCAGAAGAGTAGAAGCAGTAGGAATCCTCCAGTCTTACCTACTTCTGTTTTTAAAGGGAAAGGCCAGAATGGCTTGAGAAGTCAGATGACAACAACTGACTCAAGTCTACTACTACTAAGTGAGGGCATGTCTACACTACCATCCTAGTTCGAACATGAGGGCATGTCTACACTACCATGCTAGTTCGAACTACGGTGGTTAATGTAGGCAACCGAAGTTGCAAATGAAGCCCGGGATTTAAATATCCTGGGATTCATTTGCATCTTGCCGGGCGCCGCCATTTTTAAAGCCCCAGTAGTTCGGACTCCTTCCCCCCAGCTACAGGTGGCACGGAGTACGTAGTTCGGATTAGGCTCTCTAATCCGAACTACCGGTACACCTCATTCCATGTGGCTTCTGGACTTGCCTGACTGTACTAGCAAGAGAAAAAACATGTAATCTGTTCTGGAGCAACTACCATTATAGAAACACATGCATGCAGTACTTAATCTATAAATACATAGCAGATTCTCACCATACATATTGCTATAAATTGTTACCTGTTAAGAAATATGTATGTGATGTGCGTGCCCTGAAACCTAAAGCTTTGCTCCTGTCCCTCACTCACAGCAGTTCTGGAGTTCCTGTTCAATAAAGGAGTGGTTTATTTCTCAACTTCTACCACAAAAAACACATATTGGGCAAATTATTATAAGAACCAGGAAAGTGACTCAGGGCTAGATTGTCACTTTGCCCTTTGTTCAGAGAAGTTTACAGCATGCATTGGTCCGGGAGCAGACCCGGGAGGTAATTGTGACTACACCTAGACAAATTTTGTTTGGTGAACAGTAAATTCATTTTTTCCCCTAAGGCACCAGAAAAATTTGTAATTCCTGATTGAATTCAAACCACAAAATGTTCTGATTGAATCAAATTAGCTTTTTCCACTGCCCCACTGGAAATTTTTCAGCCACCTCTAGTCCTGATAAATTGGCTCTGATTAATCATTATCCCAAATGTCGAGTCTGTGGCTAGATAAATAGTAGGACCATGTGAGTAAACAGAGAAATAGACACAGCATGGAATGATAACATGAAGAGAGCATTATTTAATTAGGTTCTTCCTGCCTCTTACTTGCAAGACAAAATATTGTCATCGCCTCCTTGGAAAAAAACTCTGGATACTGAATGTTAACTTAGTTTAGTAGTATTATGTATTTCTTCGGTATGACACTCAGTACTATACTTCCATGCAAAATATAAAGCTGAAGTTTCTTGACACTCTGAACTTCTCTGCTCATCATGCAGACTTCACCTCAATATCTGCTTGAACAAAACATGACCCTTGTATTCACTCTATATTTCCATTTGAGTAAAGGTGAAAAACGAATCTCAAAGACATCTGCTTAGCTCTGCAATAGTTAGCAGTAATGAATGTCACACTGCATTGGACTTTCCCACAGTGACTGACCCAGCTCTTTTCTCACAGTCTCATTCATGATTTACTTATCGAAAATGTGGTGCAACCAGGGTGGAAACTAGTACTGACAGAGTTGAAAGTACTCACAAAAATTTTCCATTGGTCTTTTTTCCTAATAGAATACGATGTTCCGATTCTTCCCGAGAGATCTTCCCATGGAACCAAGGCATCTTTTCATGGGCAGTTGTGGCAATCAGCTTCTCCAGCTGTGGTTTTTGACTAATAATAGCTTGTTCGAGGGCATGACCCTATACAATTGGCAAAGCACAAAAGGTTCAGCTGTACTGCTTTCTGTTACAGTGCAAAAAAACCCAAACAAAAAAACCAACATTATAATGTTATAGGTATATGCCAATTACTGGACTGTGTGAGAGACACCCTAATGCTGTGAATAATCAGAGTTTTAGATGAAATTAATTTGGTTACTATACAAGTTTTGGACTCATAGGGTAGAAACAAAATTCAGACAGACAATCTGAATCAGATGACTACGGTTTATGTTTGTAATTGATAGATATTGCAATGGGTATCTTTGGAAGACCATATTGTATTAAGTTTAGGAATGATTTACATAACATTTTGGGCTAGAGATTCTTTGGAACTCCATTAGGTGAAGAGTTACCATAACTATGCTAGAAAATAAAAGTGGGGTATGCTGCATAATGAGGATTGGATGCTGAATCTGTAAATAACTCTAGTGTGTACTGCAAGGGGTGGCTTGTATATAGTGGTTTAAATGGGTTTTTACAGACTAAGGGTATGTCTAGACTACATGCCTTGGTCACCAGAGGCATGTAAATTAGACTATCCGACATAGTCAATGAAGCCAGGATTTAAATATCCCCAGCTTTATTAAAATAAAAATTGAAACGAGGTTTACAGGAGTGGTTGACAAAGGCATTCCCTGTTGACCAATCCATGTCGTGACTGCCGTGCTGTGCCGACGATCAGCTGAGCTGGCACAGAGCGGCGGCCATTTTTATTTTAATGAAGCCGGGGATATTTAAATCCTGGCTTCACTGACTATGTCGGGTAGTCTAATTTACATGCCTCTGGCAACAGAGGCATGTAGTCTAGGCATACTCAAATAGATGAAGAAATGGCTTTTGCTATAAAAAGGCTGAGTTTAAACTCATAGCCATGTAGGAAGAGAAGTTCCTCTTCTAAATTATATACAATCTAAATAGATATACAAAAAAATGCAGGCCAGGAAGAGAGGCTGTAACACAAAATAATTTGTGTGCACAAGCACACACATACCCTTTGTATATAACAGCCTTTCTTTAAAAAAATGTGTGTGTGTTTAACAGCTAACTACATATTGCTGATTTTCCTTTTTTGGTTAGCAATCCTGATTGCTGTAAGGAGGTGCAATGAGAGATTTGGTCTTCTAACTCTTAAAAAGAAACTATAAGAATATGTTTATGAGCAACTGAATACAGTGTGTTGAAAAATAAAGGCTTATAAAATACAAGCAAATAGAGCAGTGTTAACACTGCTCTAACTGCAACACAGCACTAGCAATGGGTTGGAACCCATATAATAGTGACTTTTAAAAAATTTGGAGTGAAGCATCTCTATTGCAAAAATGTGATTGCATTTACCTGCAGGTTCCAAGTTTGCTTGACATATTCCCTTATGAGGTTCTCCTTTAAATCCTCAAATGGTCCTGTTTTTGGCTCAACGCCCGGTGGCCGGTTGAAAGATCTCCGCAAAAGACAGAGACTGCTGCTGGTGCCCCTGGTCTGCTGGAGACCACCTCCAGCAGACCAGGGGCACCGGGCGGGTTCCCGCGCTTCTGAGGCTTTTCCAAAGCTTCAGAGGCGAGCCACTTAGCTCTCTTTCAATTGTGTAATGATGAACCTTTTTTCCATGTGCCAAGGACAAAGCAAAGCCTCCAAGGTAGTTTCGGCTCTGGCGCAACAGATAAAGTCCATCACTCAGTCCTCCTTGCATCAGGTAATCTTCTGCTTCCTCACGTGTAATATTGCCAAAAAAATAGGGCAGATGGTTAGCACTGTTTGCTGCGTTGGTGGCCATGGTTTTTCCTTTGGATCAGTGAAGACTAATGTGTTATATCTGAAAGGAAAGATGGAAAAATAATTATCCAATAGAAAAAAACTAAAAAAAGACACTGAGGAATTTGGTAAAGATCCTCTCCCATTTGAATCAAAGGGAGCTTTGCCATTGACTTCAACAAGAGCAGGACAGGGTTCTAGGCACACACAGACATGAGATCACCATTTTTTTTTAAAACCAGAAAGGCTTAAGGCCACTTCCTGTAGTTTTTTACACAAACCTCCCATTTAACTCAAAGGGCACTCTGCACATAGGGTGATGACAGAAGCAACAGCATGCTGTCCACTTACACAGTGCATGCATAGCATGCCCTGGGAGTAGCAGTGCTCTTGGAACAATTTTGTCTGATCCTGGAACCTGCACAAAGGATGCTATTTTTTATCATTTAGCTTTTTTTTTTTAAAGGACTTCACTGAAACTTCTGAGTCTTGCACATGTATCATGAGCTCGTCATCTGCAAGAAAGCTGAGCACTGTGAGCTTTAGAGTACTAGATTACTAAATATGGGTGGCAGCATGGGGGATAGGTATAAAAGGCAAGGGGAGGCAATGCCTTCCTTGGGTCTTAGTGCTCAACCTGTCCCCTCTTCCTATCCCTATTCTAACTGTTCCTGAAGGCTCTCAAAGCAGGCAGTTGCTGCTACAGACTGGTAATTCCCCCACCCCCAACTTAAAAATGAAAAGCCTTCTGCTTGCCAGACCTATGAGCAAAACACTGAGCCTGTGAAAGAGCCATTAAGTGGGAAGGAAAATTTTTTTAACAGGCATGTTCCAAACCTGAATTTCCCGAAAAAAACAGTTGTGCATTACAGGACAGTAGTCTAAAATTTGCTTTAAATATTTCATTAGTTTTTTGCTGAAAATTATAATATCACATCTCTAAAAAATCATTGAGATGCACAATCTGAGTATTCAGCTTTAGCCTTAAATGCTTAGATCTCCAGACATGTAGTTTTTTTGATAAATTCTTCAAAAGACCATCCTTCACTAAATTACACATTTTAATAATTATAGTACAAAACCTTGCTTTTAAAATGCACTCTGGGTATGTCTACACTACCCTGCTAGTTCGAACTAGCGGGGTAATGTAGGCATACCGCACTTGCAAATGAAGCCCGGGATTTGAATTTCCCGGGCTTCATTTGCATAAACCGGGCGCCGCCATTTTTAAATCCCAGCTAGTTCGAACCCCGTGCTGAGCGGCTACACGCGGCACGGAGTAGCTAGTTCGGATTAGGCTTCTAATACGAACTAGCTGTACTCCTTGTGGAATGAGGAGTACAGCTAGTTCGGATTAGGAAGCCTAATCCGAACTAGCTACTCCGTGCCCCGTGTAGCCGCGCGGCACGGGGTTCGAACTAGCCGGGATTTAAAAATGGCGGCGCCCGGCTTATGCAAATGAAGCCCGGGAAATTCAAATCCCGGGCTTCATTTGCAAGTGCGGTATGCCTACATTACCCCGCTAGTTCGAACTAGCAGGGTAGTGTAGACATACCCTCTGTCCTTTCTATCTATCCATACTTCACTTTCACCCCCTGTTGGGATAGGGAGGGGATTCAGAAAGGCATCACTCAACTAATTTTGTCAGATAGCTGGACAAATGAGTTTCCTTTTTACTTCTGACTAGCTGACTAACTAGTTTTAAGAGATTCCTCCCCCACCAACATCAGTACCTTACTAGGATATAAAATCCTTTGTTATATCTAAAATCTTTGGAAACATATTTTAACTTAAACATATAGAGATATTTCATTAACATGCCTTGATCTGAAAATCACACAAAATAAATTTATTTTCCAGATTTCTAAAACCAATGAACTTTGTTATGAACCCACTAAACTGTTCTGACTGATTAATTTAAAATAATGCCTTTGTTGCAGTGAGTTTAAATATTTAGTAACCTGGAATGATTACTTTATGAAGGCTTAAGAGTATGTTTAAAATATAAAATCAGCTTAGAAATACTGATGAAGAAAATGTAAAACAGAGAAGGACTGCATCATGTATTCCAATATTTAATGTTGTATTCAACAAGACAACTGATTTGCACTTACTACAAAGTGTTTGCACATAAATCTCTGACAAACTTTAGAGTATAAAAAAACCCTGTGACTTCCTTTTTTTTTATTCCCAAATTTAGTATTTTTAATTAGGGACCTTCTGCATGTCCAGCTTGGAAAATGTTCTCTATGCAAGTCCATATGCAGGAATTCTGGGGTGTGTGTGCTTTTTTTGTAAACGTGGACTGCGTTTTTTTTAAATATAAAGGAGTTCGAAATAGTCATGCAATGAGTGCACATAATGAAAAATTTGAGTGGAAACAGGGATTGGTAAAATGATTTTGTTATAACATACTAAAAATGTATAAAGATTTTATAGAAATTACCTTCTGAGATCATGGTGGACAGTGCAGCTGCCAAGACCCCCCACTACCTCGGTCGCCCCTGCATGCTGCTGTTCTACCTGCTCAGTGAGGCCAGTGCCAGGTGAGTGCGGACGGGGCTTCTAACCAATGGGGCCTGGCCCAGGCTACTGCTTTTCCCCGGTCATACTGCACTGCCACCAGCCCCACCTGCCCATCCCCTCACAACACAGCTCTTGCCCATGCCCCTGTTACTGTGTTCTCTAATTTTTTGTCCCGTAGCCCACAGACAACCCATCAACCTGAAGCAAATTCTCACCAGCAACTATACACCACACCACAGTAACTCTAACTCAGGAACCAATCCCTGCAACAAACCTTGGTGCCAACAATGCCCTTCTGCTATGTACATCAGCCAAATTGGATAGTTCCTACGTAAAAGAATAAACAGACACAAATCGGATATCAGGAATGGTAATTATATAAAAACCTGTAGGAGAACACTTCAATCTTCCTGGACACACAGTGGCAGATTTAAAAGTAGCCATCCTGCAACAAAAATAAACTTAAAAAACAGACTTCAAAGAGAAACTGCAGAGCTACAGTTCATCTGCAAATTTGACACTATCAGTTTAGGATTAAACAAAGACTGTGAATGGCTAGTCAACTACAAAAGCAGTTTCTCTTCCCTTGGCGTTCACACCTCCACATCAGCTGCTAGAAGGGGGCCTCATCCTCCCTGACTGAATTGACCTTGTTATCTCTAACCTTACTCTTGATTGCAACTCTTTTCTTATGCCTGTATATTTATACCTGCCTCTGAAATTTCTACTACATGCATCTGACAAAGTGGGTCTTTGCCCACGAAAGCTTATGCTCCAATAAAACTGTTAGTCTATAAGGTGCCATAGGACTTCTCATTGTTATTTCAGCAGGGGAAGCCATTACAAAGGTGGGATACGCTAGAGCTCTATAAACCATGTGGAGAGGTGAACAAGGTCATATTAGACACCCCTTCACTTAACACAAGAGTCAGAGTGAACAGAGAACATGATTAGGTAGCAGGTTTAAACCAAACCAAAGGCGGCACATCTTCCTGCAAGCATGTGGCTCTCCTTATTAGTTGACATTGTGAAGGCCGACCAGTAAGTGGGTTCAATAAATGCGAGCAACTGCATGGAGAATGGATCCACCAAGAGCTATTGGCCAAGATGGTCAGGGACACAGTCCCATGTTCCAAGGCATCCCTAAACCTCAGACTGCCAGCTGCTGGGAGTTTCTGACCGATCACTTGAAAATTGTCCTCTTCTCTCCATTGCTTTTGAAACATCTGGCTTTAGCCACTGTTGGAAGATCATTGGTCTGACCCAGTCAGGCAATTCATACCAGCTTAATTTCCTCCTTTCCTCATGAGAAGGAGGAACATGGGTGAATGCCTTAATCATTGGGTCACGAGCTACAAAGTGATGAGGGCTTCCACAAAGATACCCATTAAAGCTGTTGCACTTTGATTTGCTAGTACTGAGGTGAGGTGGTTCATGAGGCTCCCTTCTCTAGGCCAGCGGGGGCGGGGGGAGGGGGGAGAGCGCTTCTCTGGTGTGTTAGGGGAGCTGCTGGGTAAAATCCCCTTTGTGCTCCCTGAATGTGGGAAGAGGGATGTGCTGCAGCCCATGTACATGCCTGAGTTATACAGCTAACTATGGTGATGGAGGCTGAGGACACCCTTAAGCTTGCCTGTTGAAGTTGATACACTTTGTTAAATATTATTTATCAGTATATCAATCATTAATATTATTACATTATTTGGGTATCATCAACTCTGTATGTTGTAGTCCAGAGATTAGGCTGCCTACCTTCCATCTGCCTGCCTTAAGACGGGATTTGAAGGGACTCCAAATGAAGTTGTGCTGCATGTGCCCTGGGTAATATGAGGTTTGCTTCCCTCTTGTCTGCAGAAACTGTTTATTTAAATGTTGGTTAGGCCAGAAGCTGCTTCCAACTTCCTCCGTTATCCAGAGGTTTGGCTATGGGCTTGGGCTGTAGCAGGTGTGGGTCTGAATCTGCCCTGGTGCTGGAGCTTGCCCGTTCTTTAGTAATCCTGGGTTTGCTATTCTCTTGTCTGTTGACACTGTTTTGCTTGAGTTAAATGTGCTTTTGAGCCAAGCTCACAGCTACTCTCACTCTCTAGTCCAGTTACTTAAACAAGACAGCAGGAGACTGGAGGCATTTCACATGCATTGCGAACAGCGACTGGTGGGCATTTCTGATCGTTTGATTTTTATCAGTAACAGGGCTATGTTATTGAGAACTGGCTGCCAGAAGAGCGAAGTCCTCACTGGTCATTGCCAGCTGTAACTTGTTGGTCATATAGCCTGCCTCAAAGATAAAGGCCCTGCACACTGACTCCTGAAGACTGGACTTAAGATCAGGAGGAAACATTGCCTAGCAATGAACAGGTGGCAGCCTTGTAGTCATCCATGATTACTTTGGATGTGGAGCTTTTAAATGCCTAGAATAAAGCCATACAATGTGGCCAAGGATATTCAGCGCTATAGACCCACACTACCAAACATAGTGTTGTTAGAAAACAGCCCTCGGGTGCACCAAATGAGTCATAGAACTTTCAAGAAAGCCTGAGT